GGTACTGGCTCAAGCAAATCCAAAAATCAGCTTTAGCAGAATATAAAGCTCACAAACCTGTACCTAGACTCAGTCTCCAGCTTTTCTGGGAGAGATTTTACATACTTCTTGCTAATTTGGATGGCGTTATTGTTATTCAGAGTTCATTCTTCTAATTTGAGTCACATCTGTGACTGCTTAGCTGAATTGGGAGCCTCAGCATTAAGCTCTATCTTCATTTGCTCAGGGGACACATGGTGTGTGTAGGAGCCATCATGCTTTGTTTTTACAAATCAAACTCTTAATTAATTACTGAACATACTGCAATTCACTAATCAAGCTGTATTTTTTTCAGACATTTCTGACTGGTAAATATCTAGTCATCTGGCTTTGCAATATATCCTCTTGTCCTTGCTTTAGACAAAAATGGTGGGAGTCATTGGAAATGTTGCTTTGTATATGTGATTTGTTCATTGTCATGCATGAGCTCAGAAGAAAACAATTTCTCATTTAGCTTTGTATTCCTCTAGGCAACAATGAGAGACAGTGTTTTTGAGTCAGAAGAAGTATCAAATGCAAAATTGTAAAGACTTGGGTTCAAATTCTGGCTTTGTCATTTCTAATTGATTGAACTTTAAAGTTTCCTATTTGTAAAATGTGTTTTGAAAATTAAATGAGAAAAACCACATAAAGCACCCACTACTGTGCTTGACATCTAGCCAGGAGTGAAGTTGCTAATCATTCATTCCTTCACTCCAACAAATACTTATGGAGCACCAACAATTTCCTAGGCCCTTGGGCATGGAGGAAATAATGGCGGGCCAGGTAGACATAGCATCTCATCACATGAGGCTTACACTCTGGAGGGGAGGGGTCCTAATAAACCAGAAATAAATAAATAAGCTAAATATTTGCATGTATATTATAATCTCTTTCTATTTTGTTTTCCGGATCATCGTGTACATAGCTCAGTTTTGCCTGTAGATGGAAAGATGCGCAGTATCTTATACCCTCTTCTGTGTCAATATCACTACTGTGTATATTAGGAAACATATATCTATTGAATAAATAAACGAACAAATGTAAGAAAATCTCTAGCCTGTCTATATATTTAGAATGGTTTATTGCTTTATAGGAATATTTTATTAAGCATATGATTTACAAAATTTGAAAACTTCTTGAGATTTAGAGGCAGTGTAGTGCAAAGGTTAAGAACAATGAGTGCCCTACACCCAGATGTCCTGAGTTCAAATTGAAGTAAAACTGGTTACTCGCAGTATGACTTACCGTCTCTGTGCCTCAGTTCCCCCACAAGTAAATATGAATAACGAATGCCTGTGTAACATAGTTCTCATGCAGATCGAAGCAGATATTTCATGCAGAGCACTTGGAACAATGTCTGGTTCATGGCAAGCACTTAATATATAAATGTTATTTTTCTTTAACTGAGAACTATTTTTCAAATAGGGGTCTATAACCAAATGGGAGTTCTTGGGAATATACTCAGGAATCTTCTATTCTGTGTACAAATTTTATGTGTTATGTTTTCATTTTGATGAAAATTTTTTAAATATTAAAATTAGCTTATTTTGGAATATCTACTAAACAATTTCAGTTCTACTTGCACTTACAGCTGCTTTAGGTGATCGCCTGACATGACCATGTTTAACTTTAGTTTCTCAATCTGAGATTCCATATATTCTTGGGAGTTTACAATTTTTCAAGACTGAAAACTATTATTTTAGAACATTCAGCATATATGCGTTGTAGCTCATAATAGAAATGTTCATGATGCAAAATTATCTGTTATTCACCACATATTTACTGTGTTTATCATTAGTGCTGTCTCCCAGTTCTTTTGAACTCTCTGTCTTCAGGTCACATGGTAGGATGTCACTTCTTAGCCTTGTTTGAGTTTAGATGGTAAGGGGTGTCAGGGGGCTGGCCAATGAGTGGTGAGCAAAATGGACATGTTATTTCTGTACTAAAGTGTTTAAATGCTGATGTAAGACCTTCTAGAACCCATGTTTTAAGTTTTAGCTGTTCATTGGCTGCAACCTTGAGCCTCCTGGCCAACTTAAGTTGGGTATGCGGCATTCGTGTGAGAAATAATCCCTCTGCTGACTCAACCTATCACGGTTTACATATTGTTTTTCACTATTACACCCTGACTGGTGTCAACCTTTATTTCACCTACTGTGTTCAAAATATGTTGATTTGTTGTGTAAATCAGAAATAATCCAGTTTCCGAGTGCAGCCTTCTCCTCTCAGTATATGCCCGGCCACATAATATTTTGAAGACTAAGCTAATGTGAGCCTTCTATTGTCTGGAACTACCACTAGTAATTCCATCAGGTTCATGTTATTCTCTCTGATAAATGAGAAGAATAATAAAACACCTACAATCTCTACACTTCTCACCAGATGGTAAGCAAACAATAAGAATTTATGCCTTCATTCCTACAAGAGAAATGGAGAACTGACCCAGAAAAAAATAAATATTACTTGGCAAGATGTTCAAACTCCACCCAACACTCGATATGCTTAATCCCAACTTGGATCTCTATAGAGTTGCCCAGTAGTGGTTCCCGGAGACAGCTTGAGGCAGATAGATCTAGAGGGCAGTGGTTACTGTTAACAGTGGTTCCTTGATGAACCATTTCCTGGTCATGATTCTCAGCAACGTCTCGGCAGTAATCCTTTAGAAATCATACTGCCTTTTTTTTTTTTTTTTTTTTTTTCATACTGCCTTTCTTACTCTCAGTCAGTCACAAGACCCAGCTGAGCCCACTGGAGGCAATTTGACAGTCTTTAAAAGAGTATTCATTTCAGACAACTGCCTATAGTGTTGCTCTCACTGCAAGTTTAGGTCTAGTTGAGCTAATGGAAAAAGCAAATTGTATTCTTGCTTTTATTGCCATGCAATCTAATAATATCTCTGTTCTGCCCTAAAATGGAATGTGGGCCCAATGTCCGACAGGTTCTTTCTCATCCCCAAGCTCACTGTCCAAATCTTTCTGAGATATTATTCCAGGGGACTGGAGTTTATATCCCAACATTTTCTCATGGCTGGACCTGGACTCAAAGAAAGAGGCCTGATCTCAAACAGAAAATCTACTTCATAAACCACCCATCCCACATGTTAGTCTGGATTAGGTGCTTGGAAAAATTACCCCCAAGACACAAAAAGACATCCCAGCTCACATCTAAAGCTCTAAAGCAGGAAATACTGAAGTGAGATACTTTGTCTTTTAGCAACGTTTAGACCTTATGCAACATTAATGAGTACATTGGAGAAATTTTTTCTCTGGAGGCACCAGAAAAGAAATTAATAAGTGCTTAATATAAGCAATTAAGCCACCATACTGCACAAAAGAGGGAAGAAATAAGGCCAGAAAGTTTTATGGGGACATGACCACGAAGGATTTTTAAGACATGTTAGAAAGTTTGGCTTTATCATGAGGACAATGAAGTCATTAAAAGATTGGGTAACATGGTGAGATTTGCATTTTACATGATCATTCTGCTTATAGTGCAAGATGGTGGGGTCAAGACTTGGTGTAAAGATAGAAGTAAGAAAGCTGCTTTAGACATTCAGGTGAGAGAGTGGAGGCTTTGACTGGATCGGGTGGGAGATTTAGTACTGAGGTACCAACTTGGGAGTCAATATAGAGGTAAGCGTTTTGCAACCACATAAGGGATTGAGAGGCCACAGGGAATGTATGGAAAAAACATGCTCAAGGATAGACCCAAGGGGAACATCAGTCTTCAAAGGCCTGAGCGAAAAAAGAGCTGGCAAAGGAAACTGAGGAGTATCAGGAAATAGGTATACCAGGAAAGTGTAGTATCATGAAGCCTAGAGGCGACATTATTTTTAAAAGTAGTGCTGTTGCAGGGCACTGTGGCTCACGCCTGCAATTCCAGCACTTGAGAGGCTGAGGCAGTTGGATAACGAGGTCAGGAGATGGAGACAATCCTGGCTAACACGATGAAACCCTGTCTCTACTAAAAATACAAAAAATTAGCTGGGCGTGGTAGCGTGTGCCTGTAGTCCTAGCTACTCGGGAGGCTGAGGCAGGATAATCGCTTGAACCCAGGAGGCGGAGGTTGCAGTGAGCCAAGATTGTGACACTGCACTCCAGTCTGGGCAATAGAGTATAACTCCATCTCAATTAAAAAAAGAAAAAAAAAGTAGTGCAAAACAAAAGTAGTGTTGTTAAGAGTTACATATATTAGGAACCAAAATCTTTTTGTTTTCATTCAACAATTTTAAAATTTTTTAATTTAATTTTTTCCTTACATATAATTTTCTTTAGTATTCTTTAACTGAATTTTTATTTTTTATAATGTCAATTTTTATTATAGATATGGTTTGAATGTTTTGTCTCCTCCATATGTCATGTTGAGATGTAATCTCCAGTGTTCGAGGTGGGGCCTAGTAGTAGGTATGGGGCCATGGCAGCAGATCCCTCATGAACGGCTTGGTGCCCTCCCCACAGTAATGAATGGTAATGAACCCATGTGAGATCTGGTTGTTTAAAAGTGTGTGGCACCTCCTCCTCTTCCTTGCTCTCTCTTTTGCCATGTGATATGCTGGCACCCCCTTCACTTTTTGACCATGATTGTAAGCTTCCGGAGGCCCTCACCAGAAGCAGATGCCAACGTCATGCTTCCTGTACAGCCCATAAGCCAAATAAACCTCTTGCCGTAAATTACCCAGCCTCAATATTCCCTTATAGCAATACAAAATGGACTGATACAAGGAGGTACACATGTAGGTTTGTTACATGGGTATATTGCATGATGCTGAGGTTTGGGGCACAAATGATCCTGTCACCTAGGTAGCAAGCATTGCACCCAGTAGGTAGTTTTTCTGCCCTCCCCGTACTTCCTCCAAGTAGTTCCCAGAGTCTATTGTTTCTATCCTTATGTCCATGTGTACCCAGTGCTTAGCTTCTGCTTATGAATGAGAATAAGCAGTATTTGGTAATCAAAACCTTTCTATTGACTTTAATAACCAGGAGATTCCCGTTGGAGCAAACAGTGTAAATGGACCAAACAGTGTCAATGGACCACAGTAGGAAAAACTATACTGTGGTAAATCGATGAGTACAAGAAAAGTGAAGAAGTGAAGAGAACAAATATAAGTAGCTCTTTCAAGAAACTGGGCTTTGAAATGAAGGAGAGAAAGGAGAAAAGCTGGAAAGAGACATAGGCTCAAGGAAAGTTTCTTTGGTTTTACTGATAGTTCTAAGGAGAAAGGGAGAAGATCTGGAGAAATGGAAAGAAGGACTTGCTCCAAGAAACACGCAGGAATGGAATTCAGTGTATAGGTGGAGAGATTAACTTTACATTTTAAGAGCAATACTTCTCCCATTGCACCTGGAGGGAAGCAGAGAGGATGGCTCTGGCTACAGCTACGTTTCCAAGTTTCGTCACAGTCAGGTAAGGGAGTTCTTATCTCCTGGCTATTTTCCTTTTGGAGTAGGAGGTGACAGCATCTTTTGAGACTGAGGTTGAGGTTGGCAGTTTGAGGAGAGTGGAGATTCTTTGAAATGACTGCTGTAAAGAATTAGAGAGAAAGGTGAAGATGGAAACACAAAAGTCTTCCTTCCAATCTGGGGAAGATTGTATCTTGCTCACAAATGAGACGTTAAATGAGATGACATATGGTATGTCATACATGGTTGGTGCAAAATAACTCAGTAAATAGTAATTATTATTATCATCAACATCCTTTTTTTTTTTCCTTCTCCTAGGAAGGAAAGTGTTTTGTACCATAACACTAATTCTAGCTTTTATCTATGGCTCCACCTCTTTCCTTCAGTTCGATCTGTTTGGTGTCTCTTAGTTTCTTTCCAGCCTCCCTCTGCAGTTTGGTGGTTTTACATAATACCTTCTTGATACTGTCCAAACTAATATGGCCTGGCTCCCAGGGTATCTCCTGATTCTCCCAGAAGGACAGTTTCTTGTCTCTTTCTGGAGTTCATCTTCAGACCCCAAACAATACTGAGTTCAGGAGACTCTGTGAGCTTTCTGTAGCTCCCCAAAGCTTATTTGCAAGTTTAATATAATAATGACCCCGGGTTCCAATAACACAATTCCATGAAAATAAGTAGGTTAGAGGATCATATTTCATTGTTTATAATATGATAAAGCTGAAAGTATGACTTGAGGTTCTTGCATGCAAAAGGAGGTAGCTATTGTGTCTTTTATATCTGCAATTGCCAACCCACATATCATAGGTCAATGAATCCTAAAAAAAAAAAAAAAACCTCACTTTTGTAATAAAACAAAACTGATACCCACAATGTTGCTTCTTCCACTGTTTGAGCTGCTATCAAAGACACTTTGGCCCATTTATTCAGTGCTTTCTCCTCTCCTGGAGCTCTCAGCTTCAACTTCAGCTTAGGACCTTCTCTCCACGCTGCATGTCTGGAGTCTTGCAGGGGTCTTGGCTCTGACAATCTGTCTACATTTCATAGTCGGAGAACATGGGACAGCCATCCTGACTTTTCCCAATTCTTCATCCTAGTTTATTATCCTAGGCAGGCTTTTCCCACCTCCTACTCTCTGGACCCAGCCATGTCCTGCTCTTCTCACCCGTTGCCACTTCCTGGTGAATAACATGAAACTGAATGTTTTATAAGTGGGTGAAAGAGTAAAAGGCTCACAATAGATGATTACTGAACACTATGGAGAAATTAAGCCTCCTTTTTCATAAATGATAAGCCCTTCTTATGTCTCGTGATCCAAAACTGTATTTCGTGAGGCTGACCGTGCATATATCAAATCCTAAAACTCTCACAACTCATACCCCGACTGCATTTTCAGGGGTATGTAGTATATATTTCAATCTTATTATTAAGGCAATGGAGCTTCATCAGTGCTCACTACATAAGAAATCATATGAAAGTCTCTTATAACTTTAAAAGTACACAAGGAATGTGGCTTCTGATGACTGGCAGAGGAGGCATGTAGACATACCAGAAGCATCATCGGCTCTCTATCCCAGTGAAGTTTGTTTGAAAGAAACTGAGGATGCAGGTACAAAATGGCTGAGTGATTTTTTTTCTGACCAACAGAGCTGCTCGTTAGCAACTTGAAAGGATGCCTAGATCCAAAATAGTATTAAACAAGTGTTTCTTCAATATGAGATCATTATGTTTCTCTTCTAAATCCAAATACTAATTGCAACCTTGCTGTGAGCATACAATATTAAGGCCATCATAGCCATGGCAACAGAATGCAACATGAAGTGGAATCCTATCATCTACACAGCGTTGTTAGTGGTTTGGGTGGCAGACGAGCACTCTCTTACAACATTGTTAATGTCCAATTCCAAAGAGGGGATTGCATTGCATACCTTTAGGCAATTTTGCCACACAGGTTCTGTTATCTTTGAACATTTTGTGTATCTCTATAATTAATTTCAATACAGGATGGCTTGTGAATCCATAGACAAAAATACAAGCACAAATTAAAATTTCAACAGGCACTTTACAATGGTCATTTACATTTCAAAATTAAACCCATAATAAAAACTTTTGTGTACTTATAATTGGACTGATTTTTAACACCCAATGATAAACATCTATGTAAATAGCCTCCCAAAGATTTTACACTTAAGAAAAAAAGCACTTTAAATGAGCTGCTTAAAGTCACCTTCTCTGCTTTGCATGATAATTGTAATGCAAAATAATAAACAGCACAGGGCACCGAGTACAACACTTTTAGGATGATAGGGTGCCATTTATATGAAGATAATTAGGCATTTAAAACCTACCAATACCAATTTAAAAACCTACCAATTAAAAAAAAAACAGTGTGCTTACAGTAAACTCATTGAAATAAATTTCCATTCGCCTTTGCTGTGCTTTCATTGCAAATATGTCCACAGCTTGTACAGACCCAAGGACTCTGTTTTTGTGTGTAGGAAGTGAGGTGCAGATTAAGAGTTCGTAACCCAACCTATCTTTCTCTAAAAAGAAAAAGTATTTTGTGGAAATTTGCTGTAAACATACAAACCATATGCCATTGTTAAAAAGAAAAGAAACAGTTGTGTTGGCGGAAAGACTTGTTACTATTAGGAAGATTGAGGCGTGAACAGAACTCCATGCTCATTTTCTTCTAGATTTTGTTGGAAAGAGCAAAAGAGACAATGGGATCTGCCATCAACATTCAGAGGCGAATGCATTGGGCTTTGCTTTCAGAGGTATTGCAACAAAATTCATCTTCTCAGGAATTTACCTGAAAATGGACCATGAAATTCATGCAAAAGCAAGAAATAAAGAGGCCTTGCAGTTTTCCCAGATATGTAAAACACACCATGTCATTTAGAGTGCAAGAAATGGGTAACACTCGAGCAGTAAATTTTTAGCAGATAGATCAGCTGATTTTTTTCAAACCATTATTAGTATTACCTTTATTCATTAATTCACTTGTTCATTTATCAAACATTTATTAGTCTCCTACTTTGTGTTAGACAGTATACTAGATGCTGGCAATTCAAATATGAATTCAGCTCAAAGAGATGAAACATACATGTAAACATACAAGTAATTTTGGTAAAATAGGGAAAACTTATGAATGAGTTCTATACAAAGTGCAATGGAAGCAGAAAGAACAAAATTACTTAATTTCCTGTTAGAAAAGATTTCATGACAACAGGTAACATTTGAAGTAAGTGTTGAAGGGTAATCAGGTGTTGGATGGAGGATGAAGAAAAGAGAAAATTAGGTAGAGAAGTCTGGAACGGACTTTAGAAGCTGTAGAAATCAAAGCAAGGGGCTTTGGTACTTGCAGGTACATAGGCCTAGATCACAAGATGTTTGTCTACAGTATATTCAGTGCTTCCCTATTTACCATTCTACTAAATGGTCTACAAAGCATTTCATACGAGTTTAAGGGGAATATTGTTGACTTAAATAATTGTAAAGCCCAGGAAATTATTATAGGCAGAGCTGAATTTAAGTGTTCAGAGAATCTTTCTCTGTCTCTAGAATTTGCTTTCCTTAATATTGGCTCCATCCTTAGCGCTACACCCTATAAGCCTAGCAAACCTAGCAGAAATTTGGATTTGTATAAGGAAGGATTTTTTCCAAAGGAAAAACTGGGTTGTTGTTCCTGAATTTTTCACCAACTTCTCAGGACCATTTATTGAATAATCTGAGTTATTTTATGTATACAAAAAAAAACTGGAACAGCCAGTATTCTTCACTATATATTTAGTTAAATGCATGAGTTAATTCATTCAGTAAACCTCTATTTGATGCTTACTATATGTCAGGCATTGTTTCGGTGATCTGTGTATATATCTTTGACCTATTTTTATTTTTAAAATCTTTGCAATTTGTTTTATTGTCTGTTGAATCAATGTTTTCAAAAATGTAGACTACACAGTTCTGAAGATACTGAGGCTATTTTAGACCCAGAAATAAAAGATGTGGAATCAAGCAGTATGAATGTTATTTCCCTTTCAGTTCTCTTTCCATCTTTCTAATTATGTCAGCAGAAAGTCTGTCTGGTTCCTGTTTGTCTCTATTACCCTTTTAACAAAAAAGAATGAGATTCTGTTTCAGAAATTTTGATAGGCTAGTAGATAGACAGAATTTAATGACAACGTTTTATTTGAAAAATTTTATAACTTTTATATAATTTTAACATGATTAAGCTACTAAAAGTTTTTAATATAAATAATTTTATTTTAATTTATATAATTATATCCTACTAAAGACAAAAAGTGCTGGCTTTCTAGTTATGCTGTTTCTTCTTATGTAAAGTTATTATGTAATATATAGAACTTGTTTTAAAGAAAGATTTGAAGTAATTAATTTTGTTGGTGATATGTGAATAGAGTAAAAATTGTGAGGACAATATGCAAACAACTGAAATGTGCAATATCCCATAATAAGGAATGACTCTCCTGCCATTCTAAAATTTCTAAAGGGAGCAACTCTTCTTTCTCACTACTAACTACCATATCAGATATTGGTTTAAGAGTTACTGTTTTCATCACTTGGGGAAGTGTCCTTCGAATTTCTTTATAGAAATATAACTTTCTCCTTGTATAATGCAACTTAATTTTAGGCTTTACTATATGTTTAAAGTGTTGTGTTTGTGCAGAATACTGGCCAGAACCCCAGGACAATCAGGGAGGAGAAAGAAATAAAGCGTATTCAAATAGGAAGACAGGACGTCAAATTGTCTCTGTTTGCAGATGACATGGTTGTATATTTAGAAAAACCCATCATCTTGGCACAAAATCTCCTTAAGCTGATAAACAAGTTCCACAAAGTCTCAGGATACAAAATCAATGTGCAAAAATCACAAGCATTCCTATACACCAATAACAGACAAACAGAGAGCCAAATCATGAGTGAACTCCCATTCACAATTGCTACGAAGAGAATAAAATACTTAGGAATACAACTGACAAG